TAATCACAAATACATTTACAATACGGAGGAACGTTTGAACTGAAATATGGACACTTTCATTTGTATTATAGTTTTGAATATTTCTCTAACAAACAGATCATTCATTTCTAACACATTGAAATGTAAAATCTAGTTTTTTTTTATTTATAACAGATTGAATATGGCAGTAGTTATTATGATAAGTGAACAGTTTTTATAGCCAAAATGTTAAAAAGTGAAAATGTTAAGAAAACAAAAAAAAATTAACTAACGAAATTTATAGACAATCAGATGATGATCCATATTTTTTTTTATGGAGTTGGCTTGTGGATCTTGAAAATATTCAATATCAGAAATGATAACTATAAAACAAGGAAATAAATCAATGGAAAATATCATCTGTATTTCAATAAGATTATCAGAAGTATTTTTGTTAAAAAAAAATCAATGTGATACATGTGGATTTTTATAGTTCAGATAGCGAATTAAAATGAAAACACAATTACTGTTTTGCAATATGTTTTCGATCACAGACATGTTCTACTTGATGAAAAATACATTTTATATATGTCTGAATCTTTGATAACTTTTCATATTAGCGTTAAATAATTATTGTTGAATATGATCCTATTTTCACCGCAGTAATTCTACTCTTATACAAAATATTATTTAGTATACTTCAATTTTAAGGATTTTAATCTTTGCGTTGTGGCTTTTAAGGATTACAAATGATCAATCTCTTTTTGGTGATACGTACACCCGAAGAAAATTATCTTGATATTGCCTTCGATGGCAAGCAGTTATGAGATTTGCATGTTGGTCACCTCAGGATGTTATTCATTTTTGTTGCACAATTCATTGGCTAGCTGGACTCATTAAGTAGTTGGACTACATATTGATGTTTGAAATGAAAGACGCTGAGTTCAAGAATGAACATCAAAACTGAAATCCAACTGACGAGTAGTAGGTGGGACAAAACTTGCATCTATGATTCTAATATCATGTAACATCAAATGCTTTCTAGAAATATTCAGTTTAGTTTACAGCATCGATTCATTTCAGCAGAACTACCTTCGAAAGCAGCTGTTTCATCTTAGTTCGATATTCTTCATTGCTGCTCATCCACGAACCCAATAAAGATTTTCAAAAACCTGACTATAGTAGATAATATTTTCTACCAATAACAATTTCATTATGAGGATTGCTGTACACTCTCTCTTATCAGTAGCGTAATGGTTCCTTGTCATTCATAAGGCAATATTTAAAACAAGTTTGCTACCCAACGCATATATATATATATATATATATATATATATATATATATATATATATATATATATATATGATTTACTGCTAAAACTACCACATCACTTAGGGCGCGAATATTTTCTGAAATTGACTTACAACAGTCTACTTTGTGTTTTGATTGATATTTTCTCAATTTTATCATGGGGAAAAACTTGACCAATGTCCAGCAATTTATCATTAAAATTAACGTTCTTAATTGTTAATTAATGTCATATATTAAAACAACTATTCACAAATTAAAATACTTCATACAAATTATCCCATTGAAATAAGTAGTTTCTAATGTCTATCTGTGCCAATCTGTGAAACTTAATATGTGTATTAACAGAGAAATAAAAGAGTTCTAAGTTATCATAGATTTGAATCATTTTTATTGCACATAATAAAACTAATTATTATTACAATTTCAATATGGACTCTATCAATGGAGTACTTAGTTTTTAACAGTACTAAATCTTTACTAGCAACGAAACTAAGAATATGTTTTCTAAGTGATTTCTTTGAAAGACCTGCTCTCTGTTTTGATTGACTGGCTCTAATACTAACTCAATGCTTCTCTTCATGCTTGGAAGTCGAGTTTTTTTTTGTTATATCCCTTCAAAATGTTCTGCTTGTATAGTAAGCTTGTCCTACACTTCCAGTTCTCCCTATGTAAAACAGCTAATTGTTTGTCAGCTTCCGTTATCGAATCCATAAATGAAAGACATATATTTGAACAATTCAATAGGTGATTTATTTTGTTAAGCAGAATTACAAAGTTGCTTTGATCACTATTTAAATATTAAATAAACAAATCTTAAACAAGAATATCCCATCAACGAATAATAAGGAAAATATTATTAATGGCAAAGGCTTAAAAGTTAGGAAAATGATGCGCACAAATAATGGTTGTACATTCTCCTTCTTCTGCGAAATCGGAAAAAATTTGATTCACAATGGTGTACTAGATACTGACGTAATATAAGGATTTGAACAGCAAGACAAGGTAAACATTCAGTCTATTTATGTCTAAAATCGACATAGTTTTCAAACAATAAAACGATTATCTTTCCTGATTATTTCAGAATATATATATATATATGTTTTGTCAAAAAAAGGTACGAACAAGAAGACGTCGAATTTCATGATCATTCATATACTGTTTAATAAGCGCAAAATGTCATGAAGAAAAAATAACTATTAGGGATAACACAAGATCAGTAATAATTATCAAGAACATTGAATCAAACTAAGTCATTCTTTAATGATCTTTCAATCTAGTGATCATTTGAATTAGTGGATCTGAAGATAAGAATGTGCCAATTGTGGCTGTATATAGGGAAACTCTAGTCAGTTATAATCAACCTAGAGACTGGGAAAAATATTCATCAGCTCAAGTTTCTACATCAAATCAACACGCGATGACATAAACGGAGGGAATATTGAAAACGAAATAGTAGTTGTAGAGATGATAGTTTAAAAGAACAAACCTATATCATAGCTAACCCAGTCGATAGAGATTCGCAAGCTTATTAACTGATTTTCCAACTTCGCTTTATACCTTAAATCTAGCCTCGATAGTGCTCATGTGAATCGGCCACCATACATGAGCAATACCCGACCGTAGTTGCTACCTTGACGTGGTGGTCTGGCTTGACTATCGTGATAACCCAACCGACACATGCTTCGATTGCCCACGATCCCCAGTCATCCTGAATGGCAAATCGACGCAAGTCCTCCTAGTCTACATGAAGTCGAGAGAGCTATAGTAAATCTGAAGCGATGTATAGCAGCAGGTCCTGATAGGCTTACCCCTGAGATGTTTAAGGATGGTGGTCCAGTTTTAACAGTTAGACTGACTGAGAGCTTAGGTAGAATCTGGGAACTGGACATAATCCCATCCGACTGGTCTCAGTCGCTAATTGTCCCAATCTATAAGAAACGACAAAAGTATTCTTGTGACAGTCACAGGGGAATCAGTCTAACTAATATAGTTTCTAAATTGTTAGCCTCGATTATACTTAGACGTCTAACTAGAGCTCGTGAAGAGCAGACTCGAGAAAACCAGGCTGGTTTCAGACCTGGACGTGGCTGTATAGACCACATCTTCACACTACGACAGGTCCTGGAACACACACACATTTATGCGTCCGACAATGGATGTGTTCCTGGACCTAAAAGCGGCAATCGACTCATTGGATTGTGAGGTTCTGTGGCAGTGTTTGTCATTGAAAGGTGTACCAGAGAAGTACATTAACCCTATACAAGCTCTCTACTCAGACAACACTGGTCGAGTGAGAGCTTATGGCGAACTGTCACCGGAATTCTCTACTTCAAGTGGTGTCCGTCAGGGATGTCCACTCTCTCCATTCTTGTTTAACTTTTTCGCAGACATCTTTTTAGAGTTATCATTATCCTCGTCAGATTTTTCAGGGGTAGACCGTGTGCCAGGAGGATCGCTTACTGACCTAGAATATGCCAATGACATAGTTCTATTTGGTGAAGACGCTGACAAAATGCAGTCTTCTGACCACCCTAAGCAACAATGAGAGCATGTTCGGGATGCGGTTCTCCACGTCGAAATGCAAAACGTTGCTTCAAGATTGGGTTGCATCGGCACCTGAACTAGTGATAGGGAGTGAAGTAGTCAAGCGTGTTGATCACTTAACTTATCTGGGGAGTCTCGTCAGTGCTGATAGCCTGGTGACTAACGAAACCTCAGCTCGGATACAGAAAGCTCGACTTGCTTTTGCCAATTTGCGCCGTTTATGGCGTAGGCGAGATATCCGTTTGCTAACCAAAGGACGGGTGTACTGTGCAGCAGTTCGCTCCATTCTCCTATATGGATGCGAAACATGGCCGTTAAGAGTAGATGTTCGTAGGTTATTAGTATCCGACGATAGATGTCTTAGAAGCTTTGCTCGTATGTCGTGGGATAACCAAGTAAGCAATGCTATCTTCAAGAAACGAATACTAGTTAAGGATGGCAGATCAATAGATGAAGTAATGAAACTTCATCATTTGAGGTGGCTGGGAGATGTGTTACGTATGCCCAACCACCGACTGCCTCGACGAGCTATGTTTTGTAGTGTACGAGTAGGTTGGAAGAAAGCTAGGGGTGGCTAGAAATTCATAAAGTCACTGACAAGTGGTAGATGTAGGCTATCTGGTTGGGGTATGCGAGACAATAGTAACTGATGGTTAGAGACCATGAACGACATGGCTCAAAATCGTTTGCAAGTCGTAAGTGCATTCACTGTTTGTGTTCTCTCTAATTCTAACCTTCTGAATTACTCATAATCTCTACCTTTCTCGTTCTAAATTTATCTTACTGAATTATACTTCTCGAATCATATCTTCAAACCCTAGTCTTCTCCATTACCATTAATACCTCTACTATCTCTATCACTATGGGATTTGAATTGACATTTGCGTCTCTGTGCTAATGTGGTATGGCAACCTGAACTTATGTACATACGTACGAAGTTCTACGTTGCAACTTACTGACTGACTGACATGAGCAATACTTCAAAGGTACTTATGAACAAGAACCAATCTTCGCATGTTTTCTATTTTTGGAAACCATTTTACACAGACACAGAGCAAGACTAAGTGGATCTCTGTAGGATAAGAAATCGGATATGTATGGTATGATAGAAACTCATAAATTAATTGGTAATGTCAAATTAGCATCAAGTCATTCAGTCAAAACTGTTTATATTATTGAAAATATTGAGCAATTGAATAAAGACAACTACATTTCAAAGGAAATTGTTATTCAAAAATAAATATTTATTTAGCATTTTTAGAAATCAACTGAAATGTACATTACTAAGTATACATTCATATCTAGCATTGCCTCATACAAGGGTGAGATAAAACGCACATCAACATGTATCTGAAGTGTAATGTAGATTGAAGTGAAAATTATTCTTTGTCGTAGATAGAAAATAAATTACATTTTTTCATGCAGACACAGACAAGAAACTTATAATATTGGCATAAAAAGCATGAAAAGTTATCTACTGTACAGAATGATATGCTCTACTTTTCAAAACTGAAAACTTTTTATGGTAATCATTATAATGAAAAGTATTAATAAATATTTATAATCACGAATGAAATATAAAAAAAGATAAGATTCAATCAGAAATAATAATCACAAAGTATGTAAATATAAAATTGGAAAGAAATTCCCTATTTCGTAATATTGAGGTCGATTTAATCATAATTACAGCATTAATATTTACGCACAAAAAGAAACGCTACTAACAAAGTTAACAAGTAGAATTGAGAAGGCTTTTAAAAAAATTCCATGTCTAAAACAGAAATTAACAGTAAATTTAAATGAACATTTAAATTATTTTAGCTATTATGATAAAATCTTTCAGTTCAACTGAATTTATTACAATTTCGTCTCAGATAGCAACAAAAATATTCCTGAAATAAAATTAACTAAATTGAGCTGATAATTTACGTGCATACATTGCGTAAAAAAGTTAAAACGTTAAAGAACGAATGTCCCCATCATTTGAAAAAAAAATTATTAGTTCAATATAAATAAGTAAGAGAACCTAAGAGAATTCTATGTACAGTATGAAAGGTTTTATTATTCGCAGAAACATACACTAACCCAACAAAGATTTCCTCCATTTCTATTGAGAAACAAATAAAACATGAGTTTTCTTTTCATCTTTTTTTTCTCTTTCCTTTCTATCACCCTGATACCGAATTTTCAATACGACTAAACAGTATAATTCAAAAATATTGATCATGTCAAGTACATCGAACTTTCAATTCATTTTCCAGTTGGGAAAGACGTGTTTTCAAGGCTTTGTATTCACAGTACTCTGAATGCATGCATAATCGATCCTCTCGTTCTGGCTTTTGACCTATGCAAATCAAAGAAGTGAAATAAAGTAAATATTTATAAAAAATGAGGAAACATACCATAGTACATCATACAATATCGAATTTGAAAATCAACTATGAAATTCTATGAATCGAATTGCACATAAAATTACAACAAATTAGCTTTTATGCATAATTATTCTCAATAAAATTGACTATTCCTAATCAGTTTTGTTATTTTAAACAGTTAAAAAAAAAGATTAAATTGAAATGAGAGGATTAAAAAAGCGGGAACTTGAAGAAGAAAACGAATTCTTGAGAGGCGTATAAAATAGTCAGATTTATTTATTTTTTTTATCATAAGAACGTCATCAAAAACAAGAATTACAACCGCATTGAAATAATATCTACAGTGGAGAAATAACATCATAGTACAAACATGTATTTTATCACATAACACAATTGGATTATAAAATGCAAAAAGGCCGAAAGTACCATCCATGTTAAAAAATAATAGAAGTAACAAATATAGAATTACAATTTAGAAAAATAGAATAGAATAATCGTTTCAAAACAGTAAGACAATTAACTGACAAATCGATCAATAGTGATAGGATACTTTGAAATCTATCTTAAATCAAGTGATCCATCTCATTGGTATCATCATTATCTTACTTTAAAAACTGCTTAAGCAGTTTAATCTTGGATAATTCCAAAATGCTTGTGAATAATATCAAAGCAAAACATTTCTTTAAACATCAGGTCAACCTATGAAACAAATAGTTGTGGATTCATTTAACAAGAATTTTGAGAATATCATTTTAAGGAATTCTCGATTGATTGAAACTGATCACTTACTTTTATTGACACCACAAAGGACGAGAAACACATATGTTTTATGGAACTTTACATGAGGCTAGAAAGTTCCATCATTTGAAATACAATAAGTATATTGCATGTAATTGTTAGTTAGTGTTGTAACGCTTGCTTAAATAATTCCCGGCTAATTCCTATTGCTTAGTATTCCCTGACCACAACACACTGGACAAGTTCCAAAGAATCAGGAACACGGTGGAACAGGAAAAGATTATATTCCAAATAGCAAGGTTAGATGGAAATAAGAAGCCGAAGCAGAAAGCGAAGGCCAAATAGATACAACGTTAGATTCTTTAAAGTATTTTCATGAGAAGCTTATGGATAGCAATACACGTGATCGACTGGATTAGATTTAGCCAATCAGCATGCAGCTAACAACACGAGAATTTTCTACTCTGTTCTCCAAGAATCGATCAGGCGCCGATTGGACAGGAAATTAGCCAATCAGCGCGCAGCAACGTAGTCATGCTTTAATTCCATCTATGTCCCACTAACAGTTAGTTAGATTTCTTGTGTTCATTAGTGTTGAGGACGTTAGATCCGCACAACTTCGCTTGATAAATGTCTTAATTTTGGATTTTATTCATGGGCTGATCAGTTGACCTTGAAAACACATTTCCCACCAGGAAAATCCTTGGCTGTGATTGCTTGATGTGTTATTTCAGAGTGCTATTTTTATAACTCTCTCAAGGACATTTCTAAGATATATAAATAAACGCGATCTGTGTGGTAGAGTTCATAGTATTTGCTAGGTGTTTGTAGAATACACTTTTTACGCCATATCAAGACTTTTTCTTCATTTAGTTGGGGTAACAGATCGGAGTAGCCTACAGTATCACTGGTTCATTGTATTGTTCTCGTTTATCGACTAAAGCGAACTCGTAATAGTTTCAAGCATATCAAGTGACGAGCATAACAGTTAGGAAACATAGAGCGAATAAATATTTAAGAAATGACTGTTTGGAATTCTTTGGTTTAAAAGTGCTAGTCAACAAAGATCTCAATACATAACTCAAGATGATCCATCTTAATTATTTCAAAAAAATTATTATGAACACATGTATGTGAAAGAAAAACTAAAATGACTACTCAAATACTTAGCATACAGACATGAAACGGTAGTGCATCGCAAGATGGGCTGATGAATTCATTTACAACATTGTTCGTCAAGACAGTTGAAGCTAGTTTTACATTATCAGAACAATACACACAATTAAAAGTGATTCAACTTACCAGTAGTTTGGATAAATTCATGTTCAAAATCTTTTAAGGTCTTTTGTAGATGACGTTTTGATTCACGTAAAGTACGCAGTGCTGTCTTTAGATCAGCAGTGGACCAATTCGGTAAATCCGATGATGAAATAACTTGTGATGTGCTACAATCATAATTGATGACGAATAGAAAGCAATAGAATTAATGACAGAAATGTACCATTCAGACCTTAATGAAAAAAATTAAGATTTCCAACAGATTTTAAAGTGAATATCGTTAGAAACTTGAGAGTACGTTGACAGGTACAGATTGGATAAATGTATCGTTTTATAGTGATAATAGACCAAGTCTTGACTCCTGGCATCAAATGTCATAACCTCAAGAGTTTCAGTTTGCAAACTAGCGTTTAGAGAGAGAGGTAACCCTTAAAATCATAAGATTTTAGCCGGTGTTTAGTTTCGAGACCGAAAGAATGGAAGGAAAACTGGTTCATTTGTTAACTGATAGGTAACTGTTAGCGATATATATATATATATATATATATATATATATATATATATATATATAAAGACGATATGACTACTAACGATTCAGACTTCTAAGCCAGTTGAGAGAGGTTGTGGGTATGCTCTGAAAACTCATAAATACCGCTATTCTAAACAAAACGGATAGTAGTAAAAAACAGTAGGAATCGATGTGAAACTATTCCATGACCACGAATAAGTGCAGACAATGTAAAACAAAATACGTACTAATACATTATCAGACTATGGAGAATTCATATCCACAAGAATACAAAACATTAATAATTCGACTGTAAAAAAAAGCACTAATAGGAAATCAAATGGTTTAAATAGTAAGGACTGGTATTATTACTCAACCAATTAAACTTATATTAAGATACTTTCAAATTTTTTATTTTGTTTTATAAACTTACACAGCAGATTTGTCACGAGGTAATGCAGTATCTGTAGCATTCTCTGAAGTGGCAAGAATACGACGACGATTTTTTTTAATAGCATTGTTATTAGTATTTGAATGAATTGTATTTGAAATATTATTGGCTTGAATAATTTTCGAATTGGAAAATGAGGATAATGAAATTGGAGGTGGAGGAGAAAAATATGATAGTTTATTAGCACCGACAAAATTTTCTTGATGAATAGGTGAAGAAAATTCACTTTTGTGTCTATTTGAATAAGTCAATGAATCAAATGATCTAGTTGATGTATGTGTTAAGACAGATACAGTATTTTCTACAGGAGGATTTAGGTTACGTTCATTATAGAGTTGAGATTGACGATCAAAATTAGTTACATGATAGTCGTTATTACCATTATCTTGATTCCGTTTACTCAGACCAATTGTTCCAACTAAAGTGAAGAAATATAAAGAGAAAATTGATTCATTCAAGAATGAAAACAGTATGTTGGTCACAGCGAATGGCTAATTTATATTACTTACTTACTTACTTACGCCTGTTACCCCCAATGGAGCATAGGCCGCTCACCAGTTTTCTCCAACCAACTCTGTCCTGGGCTTCCCTCTCCAGTTCTGTCCAATGTTTGTTCATTCCTCTCATATCTTTCTTTATTTCTCGGCGTAATGTGTTCCTTCGCCTTCCTCTTTTTCTTTTGCCTTGAGGGTTCCATGTGAGGGCTTGTCTCGTGACGCAGTTAGGTGCTTTTCGTAGTGTGTGTCCTATCCACTTCCACTACTTCTTCCTGATTTCCTCCTCCACTGGAATCTCCTTTGTTCTCTCCCACAGTACGTTGTTGCTGATGGTGTCTGGCCAACGAATCCGAAGTATTTTGCGTAGACAACTGTTAATAAACACTTGTATCTTCTGGATGATGGCTTTGGTAGTTCTCCATGTTTCCGCTCCATACAGTAGAACTGTCTTGACATTTGTATTGAAAATCCTGATTTTGGTTATATATAAAACTTTAACTACTTTATTTTTAATTCAGTACTAAAATTTATTTTATTGTATTTTAAAGTCGTAAAAAGTGGTTTGTCGATGCGTAAGTCAGTTCAATCCATTTCCCTCAATGTTTTATGTTAAAATATGTGTACTAAATGAAAAAAGGAATTTAACCACAACCACAGCAAATTCTATTTCTAGTATCAACTCATTTAAACACTAAGTTTTATTGATAAACTATTGTTTACATCAATACAGTTTGATAAATTCAGTCGGTTTACAATCCTAGTAAGTATAGAAAAAAAATGTTTCAACAAACCGATGTAAGCACAATTGTACGATGTAAAAAAAAATAGAACAGATAAAATCGAATGAAACATACACCGCACATTAACAGATTTACTTACACCATTCATTTTTATTACTGCATGGTACTCGACTATTTCTATCATTCATACGTTTTGTATCACAATCTAATTCATTGTAATGAGAATCAACATTCGAATTAAACTTGAACGGTTGTTTATCATGAGCCAAATAGTTAACATTCTGTTTTTCATTAACACATGTTGATCGTTCAACTGGATTGGATGACCCTGTAGAGTTACATTTAACTGTAGATGAAATTGATGTGACAACAGTAGAATACTTTTGAGCTACTACATCCAATCTATCATTATGATGATCATTATTACCTACAGTATTATGAGATGAGGTAATCGAAGAAGAATATGCAGCTGGATTAGATGATGCAAACATTGATGAAGTAGATGTAGATGATGACATCACAGGTGGAACATGTGTATTATTACTATTAGATATAGATGACATGGGATTATAACATTGTTTAGGAGATTGTAAACTACTAGGATAAGAAACAGGATTAGTTGATTTCAATGACCAAGTACTATTGCTAGTTGTACCAGTAGAATGAATGGATTTTTGTTGTATACTACTACTATCATTGATTATAGGCATTGTATTTGGTGAGAATGCTGATCGCAGCTTTAAGTGATCATCGGTCGATGGCAAAGATGACTGAACTTCCATATCACTATTTTCTTCTATGAAATTATTGTTTGATTGTAAACAGTTCAATAGACGTTTAACACTACGATATCTATCATACAATGGCCGCATTGTTATACGATCTTGATGTTCTTTTGGTCGTCCATGAAGGCTTTCAAAAAATAATAAAGCTTTTTGTATGGCTAACTTTTCCGCTGCAATCTATGAAAAAAAAAATTACCAAAAAATGATAGACAAAAGAATGGAAACATAACATATTGTTTATTTATTTAATAAACAAGAATAAAAATCGACTGAACTTATAATTAGAAACTGATGGAAAACCGTGTGGAACCATAAACTAGTTACTGATGTGATGAACGCTACACAAAAGATCGCTTATAAGTATGGAGCACTGAAGAGTCAGGTGAAAGCGGATACCCAAAAGCCAAGAGTTCCGGAGGATGGAGATGTTCAGCATAATCAGAATATCTGAAGATCAAAAAATGAGTCAATAGCTAGCTTCGATTATAAAAGGAAAAAAGATGCAAATGGATGATTAGGTGAACAGGTTGCACATCCAATCCATGCTTTGATAATATATATATACGTTGAAATTATTTATTTTTGTGATTCCGTGTGTCACGATGAAAACAAAAAAGCAGAAAACTTTTTAACACTTCATTAGTTAATAAACTATTTTATGGAGTAAAAATAGATCTGCATCACGGATAAACTAGAAGGAGAATCAATGAACGCTAAAACGTGTCTAAGAAACAACTGCTAACCACAAAAAATTACTGAAAAGTGTTTAAAAAACTGTTGATACTTAGAAGCAGCAAAGTCTGTACAAAACCTCATAATCATCGAAATTTTGAAGATGGTAACACAAACTGCAGAAAACTGAACAGTGTGTTACCCAAAACGTAGTCTATAGTTGGGGTATGAAACCTGACGAAAACAACACATTCAATAACTTAATCAAAAGTAAACATGTATTTCTTTCATGCTACCACCATAAGTATAAATTTACATATACCTACTACAAAAAGAAGGATTTATCTTATAGTTCTTGAATATGTCCAATGAATATATCGCTCAAATTAAAGGACTAGTTTGAACAGTGTTAACATCAATTCTACAGAATAAAAATTCTTTTCAACTAAATTGAGATTATTGCCTTTTATTCTTGCTTATTGTTTATGTTGGGGACGTTAGATCCGCAAAACTTACTTGGAACAGGTCCTAATTTCGTAATTTATCTCTGAAAATTTTGAGCTTTTATGTTTTCGCGCCAAAGACACTTGGTCAACTTTTCGCCTACTTTTCCCAATTTAAAATTCCTTGAATGCCATTGATTGAGTGATTATTTTAGTACGCTATTTTGTGGCTCTCAATCAATAGAAACGTAGAACTACGTACGTACGTACATCTGTTCACGTTGCCATACCACATTTTGTTGCTCTCACCAAGGGCGTTTCTATCATTGTACAGATAAGCTTGAGTTGTGCGCTTAGCAACCTCGTATTTTCTGGGTGCCTGTAGAATACATTTTCCACGCCTTATAAAGACTTCTCGCTCTAGATAGCGGGGCCTGGGACAATGGCATTGGAATAGCCTATCTTTGGTTAAAAGAGTGCTGAAATTAAATTAAAATTTTAAAACCTTTTTGAATTCATAATCAGACTATTTTAAGTAATACATTGAGTTATGTTATAAAAATATCCTTGTGCGAAGAACTCTAAACGATTAGACTAAACATTGAAACGAGAGAAACTAATTAAAAACACAGATGATATTGTGGACTTGCGGTCTTGACAGCTTTTATTGTGAACTACGAAAATATGTTACTTGGATACGGGAAAAAAAACTATGAAAAAAATATATAATTTACCTGTTTTGGAGTCATTAAATGAAGATCCTCAGGACGATTTGCCATTAAACGCTTCTCAGTTAATCGTTTTGAAAGCATTAAACATGTACTTTCAATAGTTGGTTTATTGAGATCTGATTGCTTGGATAAATTTTCATTTTCAACTGTCATATTAGGGATAATTGAAGATTTAGAAGAAAATGATTTATTTGGTGATCGAAGGTCTATGATAAAGGAAAAAGAAAAACGTTTATTTTCAACAAGGAAACTGTAATTATAAATAGGACTTCACGAAAATATAATAAATATAAGAAAAGATAATATTTTAAAATGAAATAGGCTCAAACTGTAGAATTTTAATGACAATTCAATGAGAATAACTAGTTGTTGAAATAAACTTTGTTTTACTGAACACTTTCAATAAATCTTCACATTACTGAGAAAATTATCGAAATTCATTATGCACAAATCTTACCTCGTACATGATCTTTGACTTCGTTATCATTTGTAGAAAAAGACTGTTTCCCTGGACAATGATTGACCAAACTAGCTGATGACATTAGTTTCCCATTTTGAGTATTATTATCAATAGAGTTAGTGTATGCTGAAGAATAGCCATTTTGAATAGTACCATTAGGAAGTGTATGTGAATCAGAAATTTTGCCTGATTTAATTTGCTTGATTGCTGTTTGTACTTCTGACACTTGACATAATAATTCACTAATCTGTAAAGAAAAAAAATTCACGAATCAGTTTGGTATAAAGGCATGCAGCATTGTCACTGATCTAAGTTTAAGAAGTTTTCACACTAAGTTAAACTATCATCATAAGATAAACGGAAATTCAAAGGAATACTTTTCTACACAGTATTTATGTTGAGAAAAGATATCTATAACTTATCAAATGAACAAACAGAATAGCATCTATCTCGATAAAAAGTCGATTCTTTGATAACTAGAGTTTATGGCTAAAACTAAAGACAGTAAATACATTTTCATTACAAATCGATAAACTCATATTCAAGACTAATAGTTCAAAGAAAGATAAAGAATTCATCAACAAATCTCAAAAAAATAATCTTTTCAGCTTTAAATCCGTAGATAGATTCACTATCGACACACCAGCTGAAATACAGTGCAAAACAGGTGACTTATAAAACTATGTAAGCGACCATAAAGAAATTAGGTGTGAGAAGTTTGACAATTTTCGACTGCTACATACATTTTAACTAAATAATGTTTGTATTCTCTGTTCAAATTCATATCAGTAGACATCTTCACTGATTCGCATTCTGGGTTTAAAAGAGCATCATACCAATAACAGTTTCTATACGATATTATGATGTTGATATAGGAAGGTTCAATGGACATTTACAGATTCATCCATCAGGTTAGACAGACCATACAAATAAAACAAAGTTAACTGAAGCACGACGATCTAGTCATGATGCAAAATTATAATCATTGATAAATTTGCCATCTCCTTGCATTTACGCGTTAAAACATAAATAACAAGATATGAATTAGGGGAAATGATATCTTCTAAAGTGAATGTGTTATGATTTAATCTTGTTTTGGTTACAACATAATTTATCTTGTATTGCTTGATGAAAAATCGAGTTATACTATTCACATTAGGCTTACTCAATCCCACTTTTTCACAGAAGCAATAACAAAAATAATAACCATCATTATCATAACATTATTACTATTCAATGTAAAGTACACAAAACTAGGTAAAATCTAACCTTTGGATTAGAATATTTATCAGAATCAGTTGGTTTACGCCCATAATCTTGTTCAAATAGATTTTCATATTCTCGTAAACGAGATTTAAAATTATATAAATAATGATTTAATCTATTGAGAATTTGCTCATTGGATTCATTAGTCCGATTTGTAGTTGACAGTGAATTTGAATAATTAGTTTCGGAATTTTTTAAATTTGCATGATTCTGTAAAAAAAAAACCAAACATGCATAAACTCAAGTTGAAACTATAGCATGCACTTTAAACTATTACTAATATAAACTACAAATTATAAGGGTCATACATACATACATATGAACAATTAAATAATATGCAATGAAATAAATCTCTCCTCTTAATTCTGCGCATCGTTTTTACATGAACCACATTCATGACACGGTGGTTATGAAAAGTCCAATACGGTTTCAGTTGCATGAATTTGTTTCATACATGCAGTAGAATGCGAAGCGAAACAAAGTGAAGAAGCGGAGAAGAATGGGTCAACTCCATTGAATGAGACATGGATAAGTATTTATAGTCAGACAACAATAGGCAGCACATATGACAAGCCAAGTAAGAAGAAAGAGATAAAGAGTTATTTGCCTATAATAATAGCCAGTATGGCAAATTAAGGCTTGTCTAAGCTTTTTAATTGATGTTGGTTGTTTCTTAGGCACAGAGAAAAACGATGCTAGTCTTCTGCACAGGCTCTTTCAAATCCAAAATCTAGAAAAATATTAATGCCTTTACCATCGCAACCACTAAGTATACATAGTAGATATAAGTAACGCATTTGAATCAATTGACAAACAACTGAAGCCAATTTTCGGACGTGTCAAACAGTCATCTTGACTTCATCAATCGGAATAACCCAAACTTTCGTTTCTTCCAGAAAATTTCATTGCACTGTTAAAATTCATCGAAGGATGAAGTTAGACGATATTGATACATATACATTACATACATTTGTGAATAAACACGTTAGGTGTAGTTGATATAAGTAAATTAAAAGAGATAAAAAAACATAGTCCTACATATACATGAATACGTAAAAAGATGATTTAGAAAAATAGTTTCAGGAACTTAAACATTAATCCAATCAAATAAGAATAACCTACACTGGAAAAAACAACTATTTTAGTTTCTGCAAAATGAACGACATTCAGTGAAAAATGATACTTCTGAAAAGAAATTTCGGATGAAAGTACATTATTCAATTCCGCCAGTAGAATCTTCGGGGCTACTGCCGGTCCCAAGCCCGGGTAAAGGAGGAGGGTTGGACATGGGGTTGGCGAGCCCATTCCGTCGAAATCTAACTTGCCAAAAAAATGCTAACCAGAAAAAATAATTCAAACCATTTTAACTCTGCCCTGGGAGTTGCAAGAACAATTATGACGTCGCGTGATGAAAGCCGAGTTCCCTCGGAAGTCATGAGGCCGATGCCTCTTCTGACAATCAGAGCAACCATTTTTTTAGGTACATGGAACGTTCGTACATTGTGGGAGACTGGAAGACTATTTCAAGTTGCTGCAGAAATGAAAAGATACAACCTCGAGGTACTCGGCATCAGTGAAATGCATTGGACACAGGTAGGACAACTGAGACTAGCTTCAGGAGAATTACTGTTATACTCTGATCATGAACAGGAAAATACTTCACACACACAAGGCGTTGCATTGATGCTGTCCAAACATGCACAAAAGGCACTAATAGGATGGGAATCTCATGGACCCAGGATCATTAAAGCATCCTTCAAAACAAAGAAAGAGGACATTACAATGAACGTCATCCAATGTTATGCACCTACCAATGACTACAATGACGACGTTAAAGATCAATTCTACGAAAGGCTGCAGTCAATCGTCGAGAAATGTTCACCAAAGGATTTGTCCATTCTGATGGGAGACCTAAATGCATAAGTTGGCATGGACAACACTGGATATGAAGACATCATGGGACGACATGGACTGGGAGAAAGGAACGAAAACGGTGAGAGATTTGCAAACCTATGTGCCTTCAACAAACTGGTCATCGGTGGCACAATATTCCCGCACAAACGCATTCACAAAGCCACATGGATTTCACCGGACCACACTACTCAAAACCAAATTGACCATATCTGTATCAACAAAACGTTCAGAAGGACCATGGAGGATGTGAGAACCAAGAGAGGAGCTGATGTAGCTTCAGATCACCATTTGCTGGTCGCCAAAATGAAACTGAAGCTAAAGAAGCACTGGACAACGGGGCAGACAACATCACAGAAGTTTAATGCGGCCTTTCTTCGGGATACTGTAAAGCTCAACGAATTCAAGATAGCCCTCACCAATAGGTTCCAGGCCTTGCACGATCTACTCAATGGAGAGGACACAACATTGGAGAACAATTGGAAAGGGATTAAGGAGGCAATCACTTCAACATGTCACGAAGTTCTGGGTCACAAGAAATACCATCACAAAGAATGGATCTCTGTTGGTACTCTCGCAAAAATTGAAGAAAGGAGGAACAAGAAAGCAGCAATCAATTTCAGCCGAACAAGAGCGGAGAAAGTTACCGCACAAGCTGCATACACAGAAGCAAACAGGGAAGTGAAGAAGAGCATCAGAGCTGACAAACGAAAATATGTGGAAGATCTAGCAATTACGGCGGAAAAGGCTGCAAGAGAAGGAAACATGAGACAATTGTACGAAACAACAAAGAAGCTCGCCGGAAACTATCGTAAACCAGAACGACCAGTGAAAAGCAAGGAAGGCAAAGTAATCAGCAACACTGAAGAACAGCGAAATAGGTGGATAGAGCACTTTCAGGAACTCTTGAATCGACCAGGTCCACTGAGCCCGCCCAAAATCGAAGCAGCATCCACGGACCTTCCAATTAATATTGAAGCTGCTACGATTAAGGAGATCAGTATGGACATCATACTAATCAAGAGCGGCAAAGCAGCAGGACCAGACAACATTCCAGCAGAGGCAATGAAAGCAGATGTAGAGGCAACTGCAAAAATATTTCAAATCCTCTTCAAGAAGATTTGGGATGAGGAACAAGTACCATCAGATTGGAAACAAGGATACCTGATCAAAATACCAAAGAAAGGCGATCTCAGCAAGTGTGAGAACTACACAGGCATCACTCTTCTTTCAATACCAGGCAAAGTCTTCAACAGGGTATTGTTAAACAGAATGAAAGACTTCGTAGACGCCCAACTTCGAGATCAACAGGCCGGATTTCTTAAGGATCGATCGTGTACTGACCAAATTGCAACATTACGGATCATTGTGGAACAATCAATTGAATGGAACTCACCACTCTACATCAACTTCATCGACTACGAGAAAGCATTCGATAGCGTGGATAGGAAAACACTGTGGAGGCTTCTTCGACACTATGGTGTGCCTGAGAAAATAGTCAACATCATACGGAATTCTTATGATGGATTCAACTGCGAAATCGTGCACGGAGGTCAGCTGACAGACTCTTTCGAGGTGAAGATCGGTGTCAGGCAAGGTTGCTTACTCTCACTCTTTCTCTTTCTCCTGTTCATCGACTGGATTATGAAGACGACATCTGAAGGGAAGCACGGTATTCACTGGACAGCTAGGAGGCAGCTGGACGATCTGGACTTCGCAGATGACCTGGCTATTCTATCTCACACGCAACAACAAATGCAAGAGAAGACGACCAGTGTAGCAGCAGCCTCTGCAGCAGTAGGTCTCAACATACATAAAGGAAAAAGCAAAATTCTCCGATGCAACACAACATGCACCAAACAAATCACTCTTGATGCAGATGCCTTGGAGGACGTTAACACCTTTATATATCTGGGCAGCACCATCGACGAGAAAGGTGGATCCGATGCAGATGTGAGGGCGCGGATTGGCAAAGCAATGGCTGCATTTCTACAGTTGAAAAATATCTGGAACTCCAAACAACTTTCAACCAAAACCAAAATAAGGATTTTCAATACAAATGTCAAGACAGTTCTACCGTATGGAGCGGAAACATGGAGAACTACCAAAGCCATCATCCAGAACATACAAGTGTTTATTAACAGTTGTCTACGTAAAATAATTCGGATTCGTTGGCCAGACACCATCAGCAACAACGTACTGTGGGAGAGAACAAAGCAGATTCCAGTGGAGGAGGAAATCAGGAAGAAGTGGTGGAAGTGGATAGGACACACACTACGAAAAGCACCTAACTGCGTCACGAGACAAGCCCTCACATGGAACCCTCAAGGCAAAATGAAAAGAGGAAGGCCAAGGAACACATTACGCCGAGAAATAAAGAAAGATATGAGAGGAATGAACAAACATTGGACAGAACTGGAGAGGGAAGCCCAGGACAGAGTTGGTTGGAGAAAACTGGTGAGCGGCCTATGCTCCATTGGGGGTAACAGGCGTAAGTAAGTAAGTATATTATTTAATACTCTTTTATAAAATCAAGGAAATAATTTTCCAGGTATCGGTGGTCAGAAATATAACTGTTTTTATCAAATATTAAATTTTTTTCATCTTTATGCTAATTTACCAATTAAATGACCTTGAATGGTTTGATTTGATGATTCAAACACATTTGTAACAAATAATTAACTATTGTTACATTATACGATCACATGTTTATTGATATGACTTGAGAATTTATTCAATCGATAACAAATGAAATAAGCATAAAATGAAATGAAATCTATGAGATTCGTTTGAATATGAATAGGAATTTTACAAATCTTGAAATATGTTTTATGTGTACAGTAAGTTTTTGATTGAACCAAACCGGAAAAAAACTAATTTACTAGCTGTACTGTGTGGACATCTTTTTGAAATGAATCTAAGATTACTTTAAGCAAATAATTGACAGTTTCACATTCGATTAATCCATTGCATTTTGGAAACGACGTCTATAATTAGAGAGGTATTAGGGGGTGTAGGGAGGATTTGATTTTGACCAATTCGGTCTCGTGTGTTGTTACGGGTATGAGGGCGGTTGTCACTTACCGGCTGCTCACACCGTGGAAGGTTGTTTCGTGAGGAATCTGAAAAGAAAGGTATGTTAGCGTTGGTCTTAACAACCTGACAGCGTGACCGCAGAGCCCAAGGGAAAACTGCTTGAGGCCGGTTACGCACGGCCTTTTTATGGAGGGTTTTTTGAGTATTAGCTTCGCTCTTGAAAGCCCTTAGTGGGAATCCTTACCCAAGGAGACGGAAATCCGTGAGATAAAGCGAGGTGTGACAATTTTATGGTCGACCTTTTCTAACCCTTCCTTCCTTGTGAGAAGGCAGCATCCCTGCAGATGCTGATTGTCCGAGGAAAACACCTTACTGCTGTCACACCCCTCTGCAGTAAGCAGTACGACTTCGCCCTCAGACCTTGGGTAACTGCTTTTAGTCACATCGTTCTCCAATCAACCTGCCTGGCATGGTAGAACCTTCAGAAACATATGTTCCAGCCAATATAGCTCGGTTGGATCATCACGATATTCAATCCTGACCACCACGTCAAGGTAGCAGCTACGGTCGGAAGATATCTATTAACTGTACATAGGATATGTATGCATTTTACGATGATTCTAAAGTTAGTTAAGTTGCCACATACTAAAACATTTTAAATTGAATACCTGTTGAAGTGAGTCGAATTAAACACTGTATATGATAAACAAACACGATGAAGATACGATTACAAAGTTCGTCCAGTGAAAATATTTCAGATTGCTCATATCTGATTAAGAAATTACAAATAACAGCTTGCTAATTTGTCAATCACAACAAAAAATGTACATTTTATGTAAAGCGAGACTCAGTGAAGGGGAAATGCTATTCAAAGCTATAAATTATTTACTGGTCAATCCGTTGATTCTGTGTCGTAATTCTTTGTTACTACTTCCTCATTCATTCTTCTTTGTGTTAGCCTGTCTCCAAATAAACCATGCATTTGCTTAGTCGTTTAGGTTTATGGTACAGATAATTGTTATTATCGATTTCGAAATAATCAGTGTTTATTGACTAATATGACATAATAATACAGTTTTAAACTGTCAATATTTGTCCTAAGCTAGCAATCACAATGCATGGTCCTGATAAGCATCATTCATGGAATAATTTACTAAGCCTCAACTTGTTCACTTCTCTCCCATACAGTTTCGCGTATTCAGTCATATAGGAAGACATTCATTGTTCGGCATTAAAAACTGGTTACACTTTAAACCTCATAAGCAATTGACAGAAGCCATAAGTTGCTGCTTCAACTCGTTCTGATGGATTTACCCATTCAATTATGATAAACTAAGACAATTTGTATTGTTTTTACTTATTTTGATGAGAAAGCACCTAGTGAAGTGCACTTATTTGCTTGATAATAAATCATACTATTTACTCTGCAATTCTATTATAAAAGTAACAGCATTAACAAAGTACAAGAAACACGATACATCAGCAATTTATTCGGACTGCAACGAATAAAAAGGCGAAACCGAGTGACCAATCAATACAAACAAGCAGGAAACAGAAATGACAGTTGATATATTCAACTTTAAACCCTGATCGTGGTGGTATTATCATTAAATAAAATATTTGAATAAACAAAGATATAGAAAAGCAAGGAATAAGTAGGTAGGTCCATGTCAAAAATTTAAAAATAAAGCGTGAATTCATCCTTCTTGATAAACCAGAGTAAATTACGATTTCTAAGTTCATAGTCTAAAATGTGTGTATCCGACATCTTTTTAAAATCATCGAAATATAGTTTGTTTTAGGCTTGAGTAATTCAAGGATATTTTTCTTCATATTGCTCAAAAGAAAGAAAATTCTACAGGTGTGACAGCAACAATTTTAACTAAAACAGCTTACAAAGTAAGAACACATTCTATAACTTCAAATTTCTGATGGTTTAATAAATTGCAGTTTCAGTCTGATTTCTGTAAATCAGATCATGTGTATTAATCTTATTGATCAAATAGGTCAGTGACTGAAACTCAATGCAATAACTTTAATTTCATAAGTTTGCAAGAGATATTACCAAACCTCAGAAAAATAAAAACTAGAATGTTTTGTCAAGTATTCTGTCTTCTAAGTTAGACGGTTTCATTGAGAAGTTCATATTACTGTTCTGCACAACATCATCAATGTCTACTTTATATAAAAGTAAAAACTAAGAAACTACAAAGCTTCTACTACTAGCGCAAAATTTGATTACAAGAAGAAGTTAAGCATAACATGTTAAACTCACCATATAATTTATTTTTGACAGATTGACTTCTGTATAATCTGACTTTGCTATTTGATTTATGCCGGCAAAACTATGATTGGAATTATTTACCGTCTCTGAAAAGCTTTCCTGGAATAAATGCTCTTGTATACATGATCGAATAGCTATTTCTAAGTATGTTGAAATTATATCACACGTGGATGATTTATGCTTAAATTGATTATCATTTGTATCGACAATATCGTTGATTTTTGTCAGTTCTGATACATTATTTCTTGTTGTTTTCGTTGTGGCTGCTGCTGTTGTTGCAGGTGCAGTTGTTGAATTTTTAATACCAGTCTGTGGAAAATTACAATATGTATTGGTGATTTGACGTGTTCTCATGTGATTTGTTTCAACTTTTGTTGTTGACTGAGTAGGACTTTCAGTACCAACATATTCTTCTGCATCATTGCAAGACTCCATACTGGATAAGCTTTCTGAAGTGCTATATCTATGTGAATCCAACAAACAAAAAAACGAAAACATTGATTTCAGGTTAATCCCAACAACAAGATAATCGGCAAAACCGAGGATAACTTAGTTTTAGCCTGTTTAGTGGCCTGTAATCTGACTTCAATTTTTACGTACAATTGGATAAGCTATGAAATAAACCTTTCAGTTAATTTCCATCTGTTATTCTAGGTAAACCTCATTTGTGCAAAGGAAGTAATTAAAAACCTAATACTACTTCAATCGGATGGATCTAGTTTATTCACCTGCGTAAGCAGAAATTCATGAGAACCAAAAAAAATAAAATAAAAAGGCGAAACAAAGCGAAGAAGGCGAATTAGTCAACTCTATTTAATGAGCCATGGACCAACTACAGTTAGACTAAAATAAGTGAATCAAGCAATGCATACGTAGACTCAAATAGTAACAGCTGTCATAAGAGAATAATTAACAGGATCAAAATACCTGTGAATAATGACTCAATAATAGATTAACTGGCTTGTTCGACACCTAAACCATGTCGGCTCGACATATAAGTACACAATACAAGTGAAACAAACTAGACGAACAATTGAGGTAAAGGATCAGTTGACGGCCATTGAATACTAGTATGGAATTTCAAAAACTGCACCAGGGATCACACTTAAGGTGTTCGGGTGTCACAACGAGTGAGTTACTTTTAAGTGTACCTTGTTATCTAGTAATATATCAAACGATCATGATGGAAACGATCAAAACATAAAAATCAATAATTGCAGTGTGGTAGAATAACAATTAAAATTATGTGAGGTTATGATATAAATCCGAGAGTAATACGAGTATTAACAGTGTCAGCATCAGCAGCAGCAGCAGTAGTAGAAAATATCAGATATAGACTACATGACTGAAAAAAGACTGACAGTCAGAATGCGGTGGTGGAGATGAGTGAATTTCGTTGAAATCATGAACCGATTTAAATTAGACAGCTACTGGAAACGGGAAGGTACGTATTGCCCTACAAACACAGAATAATATTATTTTAAAAGTTAATTACTTGTAGCAAGCATTTTTAGTTCAACAGATTGAAATAATCTTTACACTATGTAACTCATATCAACATAATCGTAAACGTACATTCTAAATTTGATTAATAAATAGTCACAATAAACTACAATGATTAGAGATAAAGTTTTAACAGTGAACAAGTGCTGTGATGTAGGTAGGAGAAAATTGTTTAAAGGTTTACTTTACAATACATACATGATATGCATAAATACCACACATTTCAAAATACACAAAATTTTCTTTTAACAATCGATAAGTGTCAGGTGAAAATCACGTGGAATACTAAGTATTATCCAATATTCCCAGAGTAGAACAACATCAAAATATAACAGAAAATTACTTCAGCTGACTAAGATTTATTATACACTGTAACACAAACATCGTACCATCATTGATTGTTAACCAAATATCATCTACAAAATAAATTGCTCAGATTGTGAAAAACACTACATAGGATAAAGTAGACGTCTTCTTCACCTTCGTTTGAGTGAATATCAATTAGCAATCAAATGTCACGACATATCTTCCCTTATATCAAAACATACAGACAATTATAAACATACATTCGATTGAAACAATGTGGAAATACTGGATAGCGGGAGTAAAAAGAATACTGGAAAATTTTTAGAAACTTGGCACTCAGGTCAATCAGCAATCAACGAACACATAGACATTGACCCAATTTATCAACCAATCAGAAAAATCATAAGCAACATAGGATGAAGAAACAGATCAAAAGGGGGATACAATCAAAACAAAGGTGCAAATAACAACAGGTTTAAGATCAATAGCAACCAATCAAGATCGAGGTTAGCAGAACAAGCTACGGGTCAAACATGGAGAAATCCGAATTCTATCTGAAGTTTGTGCTGATGATGTTTGGTCAGAAGAACAATCAAAACTCCAATTTCAAAACATCCAGCTCAGAAAATGAAGCACCACCACAACCAAATTACAGTAGTAGACACAGCTAAAAATGAATGTCCTGCATTATTTTCATTCATGTTACTAACACTACTGATGAATTGACTGACTTTAAAAGCAGAAAATATTTCCGGTTATATATATTTTCAAGTGGATTATAAGTAATTAACTGACAGGATCTTAGTTAAAGAGATTGACAGGTGATAATTAGTGAATAGGATAGCAAATTCTAGAGTACAATATAACATTTATCCAGGGATTTGATTGTGAATAATTTGGTCTCGTGTGCTGTTACTGTTACTATCTCTAAGCAACGATAGTAACCGATGGTTAAAGACCTTGAAAGACATGGCTCAAAATCGTTTGCAATGGCGCAGGTGAATCCAATCTTTGTGTTCTATCAAATTCTAATCTTCTGAATTCCCCATCACCTCTATCTTTCTCTTTCTAAAGTTATCTCACTGAACTATACTTCTTGAATAATATCTTTGAATCTTAATCTTCTGCATTACCGCTAATACTTCCACTATCTCCACCACTATGGGATTCGAACTGACAGTAGCATCTCTGTGCTAATGTGGTATGGCGACCTGGACTGATGTGCGTTCGTACGAACGAAGTTATACGTTGTAATTGATTGACTGATAGTCACTAATAGTACGAATGGTTTCCTTTTAATACTAAATCAAAACGAAATTTATAAAAAAGGATCACAAGGGAATAAACAATCGGCAGGTGGCTACTATAACCTAGCATTTAATTAAATTCGAGAACCATGAATCATGGACGAAGTTCCCGGTAAAGAAAAAAACTTTCAATAGAATTCAAACACATTCAATCAATGAATTACTGATAGTACAAAATGATTGTCTAGATTTAAAATACAAGTGTTTATTACCACCACCGGTTACATAAGTGACTAGGCGCAATTTGTCAATCACATGGTAAACAAGAAGAAAAAAACCACGATGCATAAAAAAAATTCAATTACATTATATTTGTCTATCAATGTTTATGTATTTTTTTTCTTTTCGAATAATAAATAATTGACATACATTATATATATATTGATGGGAGTAAGAAAAATTACTGTTCGTAAGTACACACCTTAATACAAATAAAGAATTCACAGAAGAGGTCAAGGATAAACAAATATGCGTAACTATGGTAGTTTGATCACTTAAGGAAAAGAAATAATACAGAGAAAAAAAATTATGATTTAATATGTAGTGTAAATTAAGTTTTAAAAGTACAATGAAGAAGAACTCGAAGAAACTATCTGAATTAAAATGAATCATTTTGTGCATAGAATGTTAATCGAAAATTTGATATCAAAATGATAAATCGTTGAAATTTTGTGTAATAATATTTAGTATTGTTGGAGAGTCTAAAACAATCCGTTGTCAGCCTATTTTAAAGTCTCAAAAATGCAAGAAAACATTTTATCTGATTACTAATGAATAGGAGCTCAGATTACGTACGTATCGCATTTCTGATCAGATGATTACCTATAACGTTATCATATTTAACACTTTTGCACAGTTTCTAGAAGACCAAGGTCACATGCAACTCTATAAGAAGTCTAGATTTTCGACGCATAAACTAACCTTGGAGTAAAGTTATTACTCGCACTTAGCGCCTTTTCACTTTTGTTAACGTGTAGTCTGAAGTTAAAAGAAGCGGCTGGGAAACCAGTAATAAGAGTTTCAACGGCAGACTTATCACATACCATCACTAATCAGAATTATTACATAAAGATTCTAAGAGGATTAACTTAATAATAATTAATACAAGCAATGAATACTTATCAAACGCTTGTATATTTGACATGCAGTCACCAAAATGTTAATGACAAGCTGTTCACTACTAAAACGTTTAAAGCTTCAACTACAACAATAAAGTAGATAATTTTGCTTTCTAACCCATGTGTTAAACCCAATACCGATATGTGGCAGGTATGAAATCATGGATGAACGAATACACCAATGTTTGAATCGGTGAGTGTATTTGTAGAGAAGAACATTAGATTGAACATAAATAGTCACTAAGTCTTATATAAGAAATATAAAAATTACATTTCATAATCTAGGGAAAAACGAAATATAGACAGAATAATGTATAGTTTCGTTTACCATAATCAGGTTTAAAATATTAATTAACATTTTTGTTAAATTTAGTGATATAAACAACAGTTGCACCTGTTAACGACATAAATACAATTATCTTAAATGTAGGATAAATGATTTTAAAGAAAGAAAAGACATATTCGTTCGAAGCATTAAGACATATCACTGAAAACAACTGCAAAGCTTAACTTATTAATGTTTTTCAATACAAACACTAAAATACTACGGCGTACACAACGATTAAGATAACAAATGGCAAACAATCGATAAAATAATGTAAATCTATTCTCGCTTAAAACAAGTGAATTTTAATTCATATGAATAACATTATTGTCAGTGAAATGTAACAGAAATACATCTCGTATGTATTCAAAATATAAAACAATATATAGTTTATCGGTGAAAAGTGGGTAGGTAGTGATCTATACAAGGGTAGTTGAATAGAAACAATTGCATAGAAAATAGCATATTAACCAACTTTCTAGTGAATGTGTATATCCCATTTGCTTTCTGGATCTAATTAGTACTTACATACAACTAATAAATGATACATTTGGGCAGATCAAGTTTATACATAATTTCAAATAAATAGTATGATTGAATATTATGCAACAGGATTTATATTTGATTTGAAAATATACATGAATGTATTATCATTACTATCAAATCAACAATGCTAACACATTGTATTACCAAATAAGAAGGTTTTTTACAGCCAAGTATAAACACAATAACCAGAGAGAAAATTCACAGATAATGATGATAAAAAATCTAGTTAGACTAATAATTTATAACGCTGTCCCTAGTCTTTCACTAAACACTCACTGAAAATGTTATTATTACTGAAAATTACATTGAACATGATATCAAAGATTTTAATAGCAACAATTCACACACTCTTGAGCTTAAAATTAATTTGAAATGCAGAATTTTCTTGTTTTTTAATGTACTCGATAAGTTACTGCCGCATTCTCTATATGCAAAATTCCACACATAGCAGCTTCCATTTCTAAGAATAGAAAGTATTGTGTTATGTGTGTCAAATAGGTGTTTAATAATTATTAATTATAATTTACTTTTCCAGGAAATATATGCGCTTCTCATCCACTCAATCATTTCTTGGATATTTTTAAGAAATAGTATTAAATACTAATAACTGCTATTATCATTAATATAAAATAGGCGTACAACAAACAATATGTTGATGAGATCTTTGAAGTGAAAATGAGCAACAACGCTTAACAGGTTTACCCTGGAAATTTTTAAAAAGTTAAACAATTTATTTACAGTTATACTTTATTTCACGTATTGAATCCATTATTGCTAAATGATATTATTACTAAACATTTTAATTAAATAATACCAACAAATCTCAGTGCTTCCAACTTCATTTTAGAAATTGAATTATTTATTATAGATAATATAAGAGTGGATCACATGTTTTACTTAGCACATATTAAAGACTTTGGAATGTTTATAATTTTGCATAAAAGCTCAAGAAAACATAATTTAATGTTTATCAATATTGAGAGTGGAAAACCTTTAAAAAAGATATTCTGATTTAAATTTTTTTCTTCATATTGTATGTACTCTGATATATAACTATTTTTATCAAAGGTTTTATGGTGAATAAGATGACACTGGAACATTTGTATCAGTTATAATTAATTAGACCATGGACATTAAATTAAAATTTAAAAAACCTATTTAAATCTCAATACTGTAATCGAAATTTGAAAAACATGAATTAACTAAATTAACTGGAGTTTAATAAAGATGCTGATCAGAAATTACTGTAAGCACATAACATTTTAGTGAATGAAAATTCGATGTCCTACATGAATCCCGCACTTGCAGCTATTCTTTAACGTCTTACTTATGTTAAGGTTGGTAAGGAAGCGATAAAACTAAAAGTAGCAGGATGGTAGTCTGAAGTCATACAGACAATTGTGCAAGAATGTGGTCGCAGTAAGATACGAACACCAGACAACTGACATCTGCAGCAATGCTTCATAACCATAACAGAAAGAGGAAATTATAAAAGGTTGACTATGAAATTTCACACTTCACAAAACCGCACGAATTTGCGTCTCCAGAAGTAAAGCTTTGAACATACAAAACTACTCAAAAAGGCCGTATTACCGGCTTTGAACAGTTGACTCTAAGTTTTAGGTTGTAAAGACCGCCTCTATCTTAGTCTTCTTTCTGGGGACCCGGGAAATGATAGCCACTCTCATACTTCTGTAGATACTTGATATCAGATCATCCATATTTAAACCTTATTTTCTTCACGAATAACAAACGTACCGAAATTTTAGGAGAACATTGATTACGTAGTTGTAAGATGAAATAAGTGAACACAGTCAGTCAGTTAGTTGCAACACAGAACTTGGTACATACATACATCATTCCAAGTTGCCATACCCCATTAACAAAAGGAAATGAAATTTTTGGGCAAAATCTCCGAGTTTTAGAGATAGTTGAAGTATCATTAATGGGATAGAAGGTACGATTTCAGAAAATATATCTCAATGGAATAAATCTTAAAAAAGTTGTAGGGATTTCAGAGGAGATAAAGAATGGATGCAACTAAGCTTTTGCAAACGATTTTCAACAGTGTAATTCAAAGTCTCTAACCATCAGTTACGATTATCACTCGGACCATAACCAGGTGGTCTGCACTTTTTACCATGCCTTAGTAAAATTGTCAATGACTTCATATACTGGTGCTATGTTTCGATTTAGCCACCCTTAGTTTTTTTCCGGCTTACTCACTACTACATCAGACAACACCACTCATCGTTGTGAGTGGTGGTTGGGCATACGTAACGCATGTCTCAACTACCTTAGCTAATTAGGATTCACTACTTCATCAATCGATTCGTCATCTTTACATCGTAATCTACTCCTAACCTATGTGTTGCTTTCTCCGTAGTTCCCGAATACATGACCAATGCTTCGAAGTCACCAATGATCGAATACTAGTAACTTAAAAATAATATCGATTCTTAATGGCCAAGTTTTACACCCATATATTAGAACGGATATCTTGCCCATGACATAGGCGATGCAAGTTGGGAATAGCTAATAAAGCTTTTCATAAGCGTCGACACTTCACTAAACAACAGACCAACGGGACAGATGATACTCCCAAGTGAAGCAGTCGTCATGTTATTGATAATTAATGAGTTGATGAAAATGAATATCGGATTCCAATCTGCAAGTTACGTAAAAAAACGAGAGGAATTTGTAGAAAAAATGTTACTAAACCAACAAAAAAACTGACAATTGTTAGCAATTTGAACACTAATAAAGAGAATCATCGACAGAACAATCATTCACCGAGACGAATATTTACTGTTCTAGTACCTCAGCAATCTATTTGACTAAATAATCTGTTTTTAATTAACTAATCAGGCATAATATACAAATGGAGGCACTAAAAATAATCAACTCTTTTATTACTTATGACAAGAAATAGATAAAATTTTGAATTTTCCGACCAGTGTATTTAAACAACGATATTTTCAATGAAACTTGATTTCTCATTTAACAACGAACGAATACTGTCTGATGAGCTACTATTAACCGAACAGCATTCAGCATGAATACATTTAAGCGTCTAATGAAGTCAGTAAAAAATAGTCTAGTAAACTAACTGTATAACTCATATGATAAATTAAATAAACGCTGCAAGAGTGAAAAAAAGCTTTGCAAGCGCAACTTTGGTGAAAAAATAGAAGCATCAAGATGAAAAGAATAGAAAACATTGTGAATTACGCCAATCATGAAATTATTGGAAGTGTTTTTTTTTGAAGAATAGAAATCAAGGTATAAAATATCATATAAATGTATTCATTTACACACGAAAAGATTGCTGTTTTTTTTATTATTTAAGAATTTAAGACTACTATAAACACACTACCATACATTTAAAGAGATTGATTAATTATCTATTCACCAAGTAAAAAACGTAGATTTTATCAGATGAAATGATAAAAATACAATCAGACAGTTGTTAAATAGACAGATAGAATATTTTAACCATAATGAGAGTGAAAGTATGTACACCTCAAACGATAGATATACCTCCAAAGGTATTGACAGTAAGAATACAGAAAATAATTCATGAAATGAACACAAGAATTCATGAGACTAGTCTTTGTTAAGCCATATACAATTTGTGATACCGTTGGACAATTTATTTTATAAAATAAAGTGTACTAAATTCAAGGTAGAAATGGTGTTAGATTTTAGACTTCTTCAATTAAAAGTACGGTGTACCTTGAAAAGCGATCAATAATGGACACAAATTTCAATGTGCTCAAATCTGGAAAAAGAACACTAGGGACCTAGAGATAAATGGTCATTAATCTTGACATACAAAAGAAGACTACAAGTCACCACAAATAATAGATCACAGTTAATCTATAATGCGAGGACATTAAATACAAAGCTGAGTAACAGATTAAAGGTTAATTGATAGTAATCTACGGATAGTAAAAGATGTAATAAAATATAATAATTGAAATGTCAGTCAGTATCTAAGTAAGATAATATCATAAACCAGATATTTTATAGAAATACCTAATGAATAAAATAATCGAACTGACTACTGAAAGAATGGCTTGACATATATCAGTTTCTTACTCATTTTTCCTAACAAATTGATTGATCAAAGTTAGAGCTTGACACAGTTAGATGTCGGCTCAGTAGTCTAGAGGTGAGCCGTTCACACGCGAAAACAAAGGTCCTGGGTTCGGTTCCTGACTTTGGGGTCAAGCGTATGCACTGTTGAGAAGTCCCATACCAGGACGAAATCGCCGTCCAATGCCTCCAGGTTTCTGATGATGGTCTACTTAAAATCAGTTCATGATTTCGACTGTGTAAATAGGAGAGAAGCAGCACCGCGATAACCATAGTAACTATACTTGTGTTGTGCTAACACAAACGCTTGATTAACGGGAATATTACTCAAGAAACATAGAAGCTTGAAATTAGTCATCAAGTGATTATGCAATTTTGTTTCAGTTCCTACTTTACATGCATTGAGTGGTGATTTGTTTATTAACTTTGGGGAAATATGGTCTAACTTTACGTTATTACGTCATTTAAAAGTATCGTAGGCCGTAAAAATGGTCATGTTTTCGTTCATTCAGTAACTAAATTGTCCATATTTCAGGATAATTTTTATAATAAAATTGACTGGAGTTGTAATATTTGCTGTGTTGTAATTTTCTTTTCATCATGATTGACTGTACTATAAGTGACAAGTTCGTAGCACAATGGAGTGTTATTTCCGTCGTAGGAAACTTTCCATTGTTCATGGCTTTCAGTAAGTACTATGAATAGTAGAAGCTTTGAGGCGAAAATAATAACTCTCCTTTCATTCTAATTAATTCCTACTAAGAGTTCAAAACGGTAAAGATAGTCGAGCTTATCCACAGCCCAAAAAAGAGATATTAAACATGGGCATAGAAATGCCGACACACACGAAAATTTACCCAAATTTAATCTCGTACATTTTATTTCGAACACTTTGAACAGATGTCTCATTAAATGGGATTTGATGAATTTGTGTATAATTATTGCCAGACAAATTATCATTTAAAATTGACACATTTTCATATCTTGGAGCAATCATACGAAATAAATTGTTAGAATATTCAATTAAAGTTGTCATGATATCATTGACTGAATTCTGTTCCCGATAATTCTAGGATTATAAAACAAAAAAAATCAGATAAACAGATATGAATACATTGAAAAACAAACTACAAACATTGTATCTTTACTTAAATAAAAAATAACAGTAATAATAGTGTAATGAATGAAGAGAGAAGCCCAGATGGGATAAGCCATTTACTTGACAAAGGCACAATCTAATATTTAAAATGTGTATAACTTATCATCAAATACCCTTTCGCAAAGTAAGCGTACTCTTGGATGTCTTCTTCCGCATGTCGCTGTTGCAGATCCACTGAATAATACTTATAAGTTCCATGGTAAGTAGTACGAAATGGATATGCAGCAGTGACGTCCTGAAGTTACGGCAGAAGCAAAGTGTTGGATCCGCCATTACGATGCAATCTGACTGTTTTGAGAGAGAGAAGTGGTTCGGAGGAAGACAGTGAAGAATACGATGTTTCGCAAACGGTGATATGATGATAAAATGTATACATTTTGGCTAATAAAATGTGTCTTTTCAAAAATAAAAAGCTAATCTCAAGTCTTGCCATCTTCTTTTATTACGGTAACAGTAACAGAATCTAAGTAATAAACAAACAGACGACTAGTTAATTAGCATGTAAAGCTTTTATTACTAAAAATACAATCTACACTTTTAATCTTTTGTAACTGACGTACAGATTTTAGCAGCGAAATGACAAACATACATAAATATCATTCGGTGTTGATCATTTATTTTTAGAATCGTAAAAACTGGGGTAATTTAATATTGATTTAATCAAGATAAAAAACAATTTAACAAAACATACACAAATCAGTATTGACATTAGAAAAGCTTTAGAAATAAAACAATAGTGAAGTGTTAAATATCATACAGCCCCACAATACACTAATAAGAATCAGGGTGAGAACATTATACCCTTCCTATAAATATGCTTTCACATGGCTGAAGATACACAGCCAGTGTGGGAAAGTGTTATTATTTGGTTTTTAATGGCGATGTTGTATATAAGATTATAGTTTAAAACCTAGCCCCGGATGTAGAGATTACATATTCACTCTACGTCAGATCTAACACAGACACACTATACGACGTCCCACTATTGACATTAAGGCAGCATTTGACTCTGTTGATCGTGAGGTTCTGTGACAGTGTCTGTCACTCAAACGAATACCAGAGAAGTACATTAACATTATACAAGCTCTCGAACACTAATGGTCGAGTCACAGCTTATGGCGACCTGTCATCCGGATTCATTACTTCAAGTGGAGTTCGTCAGGATTGCCCACTTTCTCAATTCTTACTCAAATTTGTAATCGACATGCTTTTACAGATGACACTCTCATCACCTGACTTTTCACGAGTTGAAATTTTACTGGGAGATTCACTCGCTGACTAAAAACATGCCGATGACAAACATACTTCTATTTGGTGAAGACGCCGACTAAATGCAGAGTATTCTGACCACCTTAATTAACAATGCAAGCATGTTCGGCATGCGATTCTCCTCTTCGAAATACAAAATGTTAGTTCAGGATTGGCTTGCGTCGGCCCTTGAAATAGCGATAGGGACTGTAATAGTTAAGCGTGTTGACCACTTCACTTATCTTGTCAGTCTCATCAGAGCTGACGCCCTGGTCACTGACGAAATCTCAACACGGAAAAAGAAAACTTGACTGGCTTTTGCTAAATTGGGATATCTGTCTACTAACCAAAGAACGAGTCTACTACACAGTAGTTCACTCCGTCATACGATATGGTTGCGAAACATGTTCAGTAAGAGTAGAGGATATTCGTAGGTTAATGGTTTTCGATCATAGATGTAGCTTCGAAGCATCGCTCATATATCCTGAAACCATCGAGTAAGTAATTGTGTTATAAGAAAAAGGGTATTAGGTAAGGATGACAGATAAACTGATGAAGCAGTGAATCATCGCTTGAGTTGGTTCGGACATGAATTACAAATGCCCGAACACCAACTGCCTCGGCGAGCAATGATGCGCATTCCAGGGATAGGCTGGATGGAAGCTAATGGCGGTCAAAGCAAAACTTGGCACAAATACATAAAGTCAATGACAACTGGACTGAGTCATGTTGGTTAGTGTCGTCTGCCTCGTTGGAGTCCGCGATAGATACTCCTTGAAAAATACCTTTCAACCCTAATCTTTCCGATAACTTCTCATACTTCTACTCCTTCTGACACACTAAAATTTGAATGGACAATTGCATCTCTGTGCTATTGTGGTATGGCAACTTGAACTGATGGATGTACGCACGAAGTTCTACGTTGTAACTGACTGACAAGAGATAGTAGTAGGACATTCATTATTTACTTTGAGCACTGAAATAATCATCATTAGATAATCAAATTTACATGTAATGATGATTGTTCAGGGATATAGAGTGGCAACAAATCAATAACCTGCAGTTGTCCGGTGATCATTCTGGTTTGTGTGGTCAAGTAGATAAACCTACTCCTAACTCCAGAGAGTCTAACAGCCCGTATATATTCACTAGGTTGCATTAGGTGAATTACAAGTGACAAGGTTTAGTAGTTATAGTTATACAGAGTGTAAAAATATTATATTACGTTATTTATCAAATGGTGTGTAGTGAGAATTCGAACATCAAAGTTGTCTTAGATACATCACTATGATGAGAATATCCAAACATAAAATCTGATTACAAATCATCCATCTGATCAACAACGATTACATAATAAGAACTACCACCTCATATAATCAATGACTTAAGGATTCAAATTTATAGGTTAACAACTTTACAGGAAAAGAACTTCAGAAAAACTGTAGTATTACATAACGATATGATCTTAGCTGAAAAACCACTGAAGATTATGACCCATTGAATGGCTCTTTAGAAACAAAACAAGGCCAACAAACAGTGTACTTGCACGACCCCACCAGGGACCACTCACTAGGACTCGCAGTGAGAACCTAACTTCAAGACTCGTAGGTTGGCGAGCACAAATAGCTGAGTATTTACACTTGAACGAAAGCAATCTAGGGCCTTTTTTTCTAGTAAATATTTAATTAAAACTAGCCTATGATGCAAGACTAAAAAATTAAACAATCTCCACATTGGATGTATGTTTGCATTGTGTATACTATAATGAGTGCTAGATTGAACTAATTGCTACACAATAATCTTATATTTTGTAATCCATAATTTTAGAGTAAGCTGCCTTAAAAAAATAACCAACATAGAATGTTCACATATCAAAGTATGAAAAAAACAAAATTAAACCAGTAGAAATTAAAGATCAATTATCAGTTGTTATTCATTTTAAGAGTAATGCAATCAAACAAAGCAGTTATTGCTTAGTCACCAGCACACACATGTACAGGCACACAAGCAAGCAGAATTTCCATTTTCCAAAATGTGAATATATGTATGATAGATAATGCAATCAATTCGATATAATCCCAAATCAACAAAATTAGTGAATGAATAAATGAACCCACCGACTAAACACACAGACATAAGTGTGATCATATAAACGCACTAGAACAGTTCTTCACACAGTAGGCGTATATATATATATATATATATATATATATATATATATATATATGATCAATGCAGTAAGCGTAAAATAATGCATTGTAAAATTTATTAATAAAAACAAAACCTCAATAAATCAATGTGCAATATATAATGGAATAGCTGTAACAAAAAATATCATCCGTGTATATAAATCATAATACCAAAAAAACAAAGGAAGAAGCATGAAGACACACAAGAGAGATGATAGTGAAAGAATAAATGAATAAGAAGCTAACTAGATGGATAATAAATTAGAAATAGGCAGAAGAAAAAAGTATGTGTCATAAAATTGTGTTAATGATATCCGACCACTCGGGTGAATGAATACATATCATAACATGAAAAAAAGGAGAATAATAGTAATTAAATTAGGGATTCATTCAATTATCAATAAATTTAATTTCAATATTCAATGAACGAAGCGAAAAAATAAACCTTACTAAGAGGATAAAATTTTATTTACTAGTTTAGATCTTTTTTTTCTCTCATTGTATTGAATAGGAATGGTGGTAACTAATTTTTTTTCTTTAAAAAATAGATCTAAAGTTTTGTATTATGCAGTACTCATCAAAAAATAAATAAATTGATGTATAGGGACTTGAGAAAAAAAGATTAAACAAGCAAACTAATGATGAAAAATGGTGGAAATTGTTTAAGGGAAGACTATTAAAAACAATAAAACATAACTATAAACAATTAATAAATCAGAGAGAGAAAAAAATTACATTACATTATTAATTCTAATTCATTTTAAGTAAAAGAATTATTTGAGAACTGAGATCTTTAAACTCATTGAGAGATAAAACATTGAGGATTTTTGTTCATGCTTTTACCTACAACATAAATTAACCAAACAGTAAACAAGTTAAAAAGTTTTTGTGTAGAATGGTTTAATTTGCACGTTATATTCGTCACGGACTGATCTCATACTGTGTGCTGCTGAGAATCGAACAACAGATAGATATTCCCTCCTCCTAACAATAATAACAAGGGACCTCATTTGAGGACGATTCTGAAAACCTCAGGTCAAGTAGCGGATGCTTAACATGTCAACAGTGGACCAGTTGCCACCGACGGTAGATGCCGTATGTCGAGAATTTTCATGATAGAGTTGTGCAGATCGTGGAGCTACTATGAAATCATGAACCGATTAATGTTAGGTCACTATTAAAAGCCTTGAAGCACTGGGTGTCAGTTTCGTCTTGGTATGGGACTTTTAACATGAGGAAGTGTTTAAAACTGTAACAACACCTTTGGATACGAACCGAGTGATTTAAAATCCTATCATCCTCAAAACCAGAATGTTCTGGGTTCGATTTCGGATCGCATCCGTACGGGCATGTGGCTGAAAAGTTCCTTAATGGGACAAAACGGCTGTTGATTAGTGTTAAATGATAATCCAACTAAGACCAATCTGTGATGACTACAACCTCAGGAATAAAAAATATCTATTTAGTTTCCAT